CTGCGCGATCCTCCAGGAGCAGCTGGAGCATCGCACAGGCGCTAGTACTCATGCGTGCACTGCGCGCGTGCACGAGGACGCCGCCGGCCCCGTTTCAACTGAACCGGTTGGAACGGGGCGAGAAACCCACCCCTGACCACAATGATGGATTAGGTGCTGTTCAATATCTTGGGGACTATAGGAATTAGTACATTTATGTGGAGTTGGAAATTATCTTCCTCTTGCAATATCAAGCCAGCAGTCACACAAATTCATTGTAAAAGTTTTGCTAGTGTCATTTTCTCAAACGGCAAAAACACTGTTATATTTTGATATTTGAATCTGGATTCCCCTGATTATAGGAGGTATCAAAAAGTAGACAAAATGCTCCACAAAACCTAGAAGTTTTCTACTTTTGATCTCGTGCTTTTGTTGCTTAATATAATGGTCCTAGGTTTCTGCAAACCAAATATGTACTCTGACAGAAAATAATAATTACAATGCACTCTCCTCTCTAACCAACAGGAAAAAAGATGTTAAGCCACAACCCTCAGTTCTCACAAATACTAAGCTGCTTAAAAATTTATCTCCCACATTTGGGCATAAGCCAAAACGTGCTACATTGTTATTCGAAAAATATTTTTAAATATACTTTGCTAAAGTATCACTCTATTGACTGTATTGCCTATGACTGTTCAGAGTTGTAGGCCAGCAATATTGGGGTGTAACAGTTTTATTTATTTTTGTTTGTTTTGTCAAGCATGTATAAGAGAATAGATATAAGTATATAGAAGATTATGAATACATGAAATGGATACGAATAAATTGGGTTATTAGGACAGGGACAGTAGGCATGTTGATGCACTTATCCATGCCCCTTACAGGCCTCTTAGGAATGGGGTGAGGTCAACAGTAGACAGTCTAATGTTAAAGTTGTGGAGGTTTGGGGAAGAAACCACTGAGTTAGGTAATGCATTCTAGGCATTGACCACTCTGTTGCTGAAATCGTATTTTCTGCAATCGGGTTTGGTACTGTTTACATTAAGTTTGTATCTATTGTGTTCTTGTGTATTGTTGTGGTTGAAGCTGAAATAGTCATTGACAGGTAGAACATGGTAGTAGATCACTTTATGTACTATGCTTAGGTCAGATTGAAAGTGATGTAGTTTTAAATTGTCTAAGCCCAAAATTTCAAATCTGATGGCATAAGGTATTCTGTTGCAAGCAGTGGAATGGAGGACTCTTCTCGTGAAATACCTCTGAACTCGCTCAATTGTGTTAATGTCCAATATGCAGTGCAGGTTCCAGACAGATGAACTATATTCGAGAATTGGTCTAGCAAATGTTTTGTATACTCTGGTTAGTAGCACAGTGTTACCAGAGAAGAAGCTAGGCAGGGTTAGGTTAACAACTCTTAATGCCTTTTTGGCAATGTTGTTACAGTGGGCACTTAGATCATTAGAGATGAGTACTCCAAGGTCCTTGACAGAATGGGGGTCGTCTACGAGGTCATATCTGCCCAGCTTATATGTTGTGTTCTGATTTTTTTTGCCAATGTGTAAGACAGAGCATTTGTTGGTTGAGAACAGAAAAAGTATGAAAGGATTTATTAAGATAGTTTTAATCATTTAGGCATTTAATATCAAAACTAATATTTTAAACTGGACCCCAAAACAAATTCTTAATCAATGAACATTACATTTCTATCTTCTTCTTTACTGGCTTCACTTAACTGCGAGCATCTACCGTGTTTCTCCGAAAATACAACATGTCCTGAAACTAAAGCCTTGCTACATTTTTCAGGTGGGCAAAAATCTAAGCACACACACACCCCGAAAATAAGCCAGACAAAGTCTTCCGGCAGCCTGCCCATAACCATAGAGCACACTCCTAGAGCGGCCGCTGCTGGAAGAATCGGAAGCTGAGTTCCGGAGTTTGGGAGCCGGAGAAGAAGTTTTGCTCGGAGCTTGGCGGCTGCTGCAAGGACAGCTGGCCAAGGGCATGGTGAGGCTGGGAGGCATGCAAGCTGGGGGCGGAGCAGGCACTCACACAACCCCTCTCCAGCCGGGCAGAGCTCCATGCACTGACCTAGGGGGTATCCCAAATGTGCCAAGCTGCGGGAGCTATGGGGCAGACAGAGCGCCACATGGCTTGGTGCCTTAGGGATACTCCCTAGGTCAGTGAATGGTGCTCTGTCAGGATGGAGAGGGGGTTTGCCAGGTGGCTGCTTGTGAGCATGGTCACCTCATGGCTGCAACCCCCTTGCAAGGGAGCAGCCGCCCGGCAACCCCAAAACAATAAGCCTTCCACCTCTAATAAGCCCAAGGCCATATTTCGTGGGTCAAAA